ACCTTCTGAAGCTGGAAGCCCCAACAGACTCTTTTTTTCTTACAAGTTGCCTTCCTCATGGTGTCTCATCACAGCAATTTAAAGTAACTAAGATAGAAGGTGGTTACCAGGAATGGGGCTATTGCTACGATAGGCCTGGATTTTGAGAAATGTACAAGATTTTGGGACCTTGAACTAGGAGATTGTGAATAATATAAGCAGGGCTTAATGGGCCATCTTGGTAGGAGCTCGGGAGACTACAGCAGTGCAGAGAGCAATGTGGACTACATAGAGGCCCAACTTGAGAGGTTTCATAGGGGAACAGTATTAGTAACTGGCCTACAGACCAGCTGTGTGATATTTGGCAAAGAATGTAAGTTCTTTTTGTCCTAAGAATCTGCCTCAGGATAAATTGAAGAGTTTTGGAATAATTTCAGTGGCAGAGGAAATTCCAAGACAGCCCAATACCGACTCTGTGGCTTATTAGTGATTTTTTGTTTTTGTTTTTGTTTTTGTTTTTTTGAGACAAGGTTTCTCTGTGTAGCTTTGGAGCCTGTCCTGGAACTTACTCTGTAGACCAGGCTGGCCTTGAACTCACAGAGATCCACCTGCCTCTGCCTCCTGAGTGCTGGGATTAAAGGCGTGCACCACCACCGCCCAGCTAGTCATCACTCTTAATGCAGGTCTCAAATGAAAAAGAGCCACAGAAACAAAAAGAAAAACAAAATGTAGGCCATGATGGTGCCCATCTTCAATCCCAGCACTCGGGAAGCAGAGGCAGGTGAATCTCTCTGAGTTCGAGGCCAGCCTGGTCTACAGAGTGGAGTTCCAGGACAGCCAGGGCTACACAGAAAAACCCTGTCTGGAAAACAAAACAAAACAAAAACCCACAAACAAAAAAGAGGGCTGGAGAGATGGCTCTGTGGTTAAGAGCATGTACTGCTCTTGCAGAAGACTGGAGTTCAGTTTCCAGCATCCATGTCAGGCAGCTCACCACAGCCTGTTAACTCCAGCTTCAAGGGATCTAATATTTACCCGCATTCACATGCACACCTATACACAATTAAAAATAATAAATCTGTTTTTGTTTTTTGAGACAGGGTTTCTCTTCGTAGCTATCCTGGAACTAGCTTTGTAGACCAGGTTGGCCTGAGTTCACAGAGATTGGATTATCTATGCCCCCCAGAGTGTTGGGATTAAAGGCCTGAGCCACCACCACCTGGCATAAAAATAAATCCTAAAGAAAAAAAAAGAGCTGATGCTGATGGTGGTGGCTCACACCTTTAACCCCAACACTCGGGAGGCAGAGGCAGGCAGATCTCTGTGAGTTCAAGGCCAGCCTGGTCTACAGAGTGAGTTCCAGGACAGCCAGAGCTACACAGAGAAACCCTGTCTTGAACACCCCCTCCAAAAGAAATACAAAACGCAGTTTGAAGAGAAAAAGAACACCAGAAAATTTCACATAGGAGCTGAGAAATAAGGAAAGATGGGAATAAAGAGAGTGTGCCCTCAGAGTGAGATCCCACACATCTAGTCCTATAACTTATGAAAAGAAAGGCCTAACAAATTATGTGTTTCTAAAGAGCAACAAATCAAAAGTTTATGCAAATGTAATCTAAGGAAGGGACCAGGTTTCATTCCATGCAGGCAGCCAAACTTGACAGCATGGTTCTGGCTGTAGAGTCATGAAGGATACAGTAAAGGGGTTGTGGCATCTTCCTTAGCAGTCAGGGAAGAGTGGCTGAAGCCAGGCATGTGGTAGGTGAGCCTCTGCATGGAGGCTGGGAGAGACCATTGCATGAAGCTGTGAAAGTGAAGCCTGGATTGTGCTGGAGATCCCAGAATGCTGGAGGTACCAAAGCTTTGGGGGCAGACAGGGAGGGGAACAAGCCCAAAAAAGAGATGTGTGCTGCAGTCAGCAAATCTGGAAGGGCAGAGGCAACTAAGCTCTCTGACATCAGACATAGACTATGCAGTGGTTCTTAACCTTCCTAATGCTGTGACCCTTTAATACAGTTCCTCATGTTGCAGTGATCCCCTCAACCATAAAATTATTTTAGTTGCTACTTCTTTTTTTTTTCATTTTTATTTATCTATTTTTCCTATTAGCTTGATATAGTACAAATTCTTATCCTAATAGTGAAATGTTTCACTGAGGTTTACCCAGTGATTGAGTAAAACCAAAACTTATTATAAGCCACAGTCATCCTAGGGTGATCTCCAAAGTATATAAAGAACTCAAGAAACTAGACATCTAATAGTGAAATGTTTCACTGAGGCTCACCCAGTGATTGAGTAAAACCAAAACTTATTATAAGCCACAGTCATCCTAGGGTGATCTCCAAAGTATATAAAGAACTCAAGAAACTAGACATCAAAATACTGAATGATCCAATTAAAAAATGGGCTAAAGAGCTAAACAGAATTCTCAAAAGAATCTCAAATGGCTGAAAGACATTTAAAGAAATGCTCAACATCCTTAGTCATCAGAGAAATGCAAATCAAAACGACTCTGAGATACCACCTTACACCTGTCAGAATGGCTATGATCAAAAACACTAATGACAGTCTATGTTGGAGAGGATGCAGAGCACAGTTGCTATTTCATAATTATAATTTTGTTACTGTTATGAATCATAATGTAAATGTCTGTGTTTTCCAATGGTCTTAGGCAAACCCCGAGAAAGGGTAGTTTGACTCCAGGGGTCACCACTCACAGGTTGAGAACCGCTGCTTTAGACTGTTGAGGACTTTTAAGATTGAAGTAAATGCATTTTGCATTATGATATGGCCACAAATCAAATGGACAGAATGAGGGGTTTGAATGAGAATGATCCCCACAGGCTCACATCTTTTAATGCTTGGTCTCCAGTTGGTGGAACTGTTTGGGAAAGATTAGGTGGTGTGTCATTGGGGGCAGCTTTGTAGGTTTCAAAAGCCCAAAACATTCCTGGTTAATGCCTCTCTCTCCTATTTGCAGATAAAGATGTAAGCTCTTAGTTACTGCTCCAGAGCTATGCCTGTCTGCTGCCATTCTCTCTGCCACTAATTTCATGACTCACTCTCTCAAACTGTAAGCCCCAACAGACTTTTTTTCTTTAAGTTGCCTTGGGAGCAACTTAAAATTAACTAAGACACTTGCTGAGCTACACAGCCATTCTATTCCTTTTGAGGAATTGCCAGACTGTTTTTACTTTCCGACCAGCAGTGTACAAGGGTTCCAGTATGTCCACATCCTTGCTAATAATATAGCAAGCTTTGTTTTATTTCTAAAGTAACTTATCTTATTACTGACAGGGTCTTTTCTTTCTTGAGTCAGTATCTGTAGCCCTGGCTGGTCTGGCATTCAAGAGATCTGCCTGCCTCTGCCTCCCAAGTGCTGGGATTAAAGGTGTACTCCATCATGTCCAGCTAAAGATTTTGTGTGTAGAGGGGAGGGGTTGGGGCGGGTATGTATACACTGCCACATGTGAGTGCAATACCTGCAGAGTTCAAAAGAGGGCATCAGATCCCCCTAAAGCTGAATTCATAGGGAGCTGTCAGCTGCCTGACATGGGTGCTGGGAACTGAACCTGGGCCCTCCAAGAACTGTACCTGCTCTTAACAAACTGTCTCTTTAGCCCTATCATAAGGATGATAAATCAACTGATTTTAACTGAACACCAAGCTTATAACTTGCAGGCAAACAAAAAGAAATTGCATCCAAATAAATTTCTCATACTGATGACAAAGACATCCCAAAGAACTGCAAGTTCCATCATTTTCCTTCTTTCTGCACACCATAAACAGGATGAGAGAACGGGAAGCACTGATTAAAAATGACCTAGAAATGTTACTACTTCCAGGTTCTACCTGTTCTATTCCACTTCCTGCCTTCAGGTTCCTACCCTTACTTCCTTCAATAATGGACTATGATGTGGAACTGTAAGCTGAAATACCACCCATCCCTCCCCAGGTTGCTTTTGGTCATGGTGTTTCATCAAAACAATAGAAACTCTAAGACACCTAAGCTGTTCTCCATTTCTTGACTGCAGAAACCTCCCTATGGCATGGCTTCACTCACGAAAACCCAAACACAGTTTAGTGTAACCACAGGTGTCCACCCAGTGTGAGGCAACAATCCTATCCCAGTGTATGCAGATGTCTCCCAAAGAGCTGGTTTGCATTTCTAACACATTTCATCTCTTCTGTGCTTGGTAAGGTCTGAGAACTAGGTAAGGTGTTAGCCTCTGGTTCTTGCACCAGAGATTCCATGCTGATACTGCCGGCCTGTCCCAAGCAGCTGGCAAGCTTCTGAGCGCAAAGGCATTGTGCAGCAGTCTGAGAGCAGTACTAATGAGAACCAAGTACAGATACATACTGAACGCAGGTTTTTGTTGCTGATCTACCCATCTGCAGGGATGACTGCATTTATTCCTCATGCCATTACTTCAAAACAGTCTCCTGCTTGCACTTATATTTCTTGAAATACTAGCACTTTAAATATCAAAATTTTTGAAGAACTAAGATAGAGCGTCACAGCCTTTCATTCTTAGGGTGCTTGGGTCAATGTCAAGTGAAGGTCACCTGCACACTGCCCTGCACCCCACCCCCAACGTACACAATAGACTGTGCAACTTAGATGAGCCAACTATTTTCAGTTGGCATCCCAAAAGCATATTCCCAGAGAAGTGAGCCTGAGCGGGATTTTCATAAATATCCCATCAACAGGGCATCTCTTGGCCTTAGGGACAAGGCTGTTTGTGGATCACTCTTGGAGACAGCCTTCCCCATGAATGAGACAGGATTCCACTGCCCACCTATAGAAGCTCATGTTCTTCAAGTATAGTGCCATGGCCTTAACCTGCATCTCCTCCCCAGCTCTAATGACACTAAGGAGGAAAGGGCAACAGCAGCTCTGCCCCTCAAGCTTCCTCCCTGTTGGCATCCTAGCTGTGCTCTGGATCCAGGAGAAAGAAGTCTGGCCTCTGGCGCAGGGGACTTTAAGGCACAACAGAGAGTGAACACAGGATATTTTGTACCTTTAACCTGGCCTCTGAGTGGTATGGAATTTGGTATTGGTGGAAGAAGAGTGGATAATGGTGTCACAACATCTGGAAAAGAAGTACAGGAAGCTCTTGTGAACTTAGACTGCATACACAGGCTGGCCAGTGAGCAAAGTCATCCACCTTCCTATCTGTCCAAGGAAACTGCTCAACAAGAAATATACCCAAAACACTGCGGAACATCCAAGCAAGTCTTGCAGACTAGAGACTCTTAATTCCATTTTCTTTCTCTCTTTGTTTTTTTGAGACAGGGTTTTTCTGTGTAGCCCTGGCTGGCCTGGAACTCCTTCTGTAGACCAGGCTGGCCTTGAACTCACAGAGATCTGCCTGTCTCTGCCTTCAGAGTACTGGGGTTAAAGGCGTGCGCCAACATGGCCTGGCCTTACTTCCATTTCTGAATCCCTCCCAGGCTTTACAAAATCAGAGCATCACATTACTTGTAATGTGGTCAACCCTGATCAGTAAGCAAGACTCAAATGCCCCTGCTGAAGACGCTTAACTGTGCTAATCCTTTGCAGGAATGCCCTCAGAGGCTCTCCCGTGTCTTTTCAATGCCACCCCCTCATCCCAAAGGACCTGCTTCTGATCCCTCTTGTAAAAAGTAGTTCTTTCTCACAGATGTAGGGAATGCTAACATTGGAACACTCAGAAACTGCCACTATCTGTTACAGCCTTGGGTCTGTTGTAAACAGTGGACCCGAAACCTGCAGGGTAAAAAACACCAGGCAGCTCTCGTCTAAGGCAGTTTTTAAAATGAGGACAGAACCAATAAAAGGTCTATTGTTTACCACCAATACCATCATCACTACCACCAATTCTTGCAGTCTAGTCCCATGAAGCCTCACTGACATGAGGATGAATTACCACCACAGCCCCAGGAAAGCAGAGGCTACACAGATCGCTGCAAAAAGGCTGGAGGCAAACAATTACCTTTCATGAAGAATCGGCAGGTGGGGCGAGGCCTCACCTTCCGGTCACTGGGGTCCTTCACTTCGCCTTCTTCCAAGTCATCATCCTGGAACAGAGGACAGTCATCTGGAGGTGAGCCGACCCACCCTGCCCACCACACCTCTTCACCGGGCCAGAAGCAGAGAACTGGGTGTGGGGAGCATCCACCTTTCCCAAAGGTGTGTCCTCACCAGCTCACCTTCCGTTTCCCAATCTTAAATGCTCAGCTACAACAACAGATGGTTTCTCGATCACCTAAAACCTCAGAAGAGTACTATGGGAACAGTGGGCTCCACCAGACACTTCAGGACAGAGCTTTGGTCTGTTTCTATGAATTGTGAGCAAGCAATGGTTACACTTTGGTCTTTACTACTTTGTACACTAACAGTGTATAAACCTATTACTCCATGCCCTTTGCAACTGAACTTCACCAGACTCCCTCCTCAGGAACAGTCTCCTAGGCCAAAGACCTACTTATCTTCAGACTGCCCCACAGGATGAGCATCTCTCAGGCAGTACCCCTACATTAAGTGTTCAGGATGCATCTGAGACTATGATAAAAACAATGCACGTACTAAGCAAGAATCACAGTGGAGGTCCATGAGTCTAGAGGCAGCAACAAAGGCCAACATGCAAACAATATAGTGGAGTGAAGAGACAGGGTCTAGGAGAGGAGCTTCCAGGGAAAATGGCTGCTGGCCTGGAGCTACTGTGCTCTCTTGGGCCCAAACTATCATCCACAGGGCCCACTTGCCTACCTGCCCTGTTATATCTTCAGCATGTTATTGTGAACCTGGTACATGTCTGGGACCCCGATGCCCAGGGCTTCTAAACAGTATGACCCGTTGGGTGCTGTGGGCTAGAGGAATAGTCTGGTAGGAAGGAAGTAGCCTCTCCTGTTATTGAAGGATGCTGGGCTGGGGTCTTTTAGTAACATGCTGCTTCCCATGGAGTGTAGGACAGTTCACATGGGGTTACCATGCAGAGTAGGCAAAAACAAAATCATACTTTAGAACTGTACTGGGCCAGAAAGTCAACTGGCAGATTCATCCCAGATTCTGTTTCCAAGGGAACCAAGCAGATGAAGACGATGGGTGCTGTCTGGGGAAGGTTTGGTTCAATCCATTTCCCCATTGCTCATACCCACAGCACAATGTAAGAGTTACCAGCACCCTCACTGTCAAGGCCCTCTATAATTCCTATGAAGACTCTCAACCCCATTTGACCTTTCACTGCAGGAAAGGAAGGGCATTTAAGAGGGAGCATCTGACACCAGGCACACCTAAAACACAGCCAATAATCTCAACTTGAACATCATACCATCTTTTCCCTTTTACCAACACTGAGGTAGAGATCAATTTCCCCATAGTGGAAGCACCAATGGCAAAACACAAGAAAATCTGCACAGCAAAGTCCTTCATGAGGGTGAACTAAGAAAGTTAACTCTGGAGACCATCTACTACACAGCCGGGAGAGGAGGTGAAACACCTGCTACTTCATGCTTGCAGCCGCACAAACCCCATCCACCCAGGTCTAGCCCTACCACCAACCACCCTGTATGGCTAGAGTCATCCTCCATCCATGACACCCTAAAATGAACTGGGTGTATATGGAAATGTGGGATCCCCAGATAGTGGCCCAGTCTCCCTGGATCACCCCAGATGTTTAACCTATCTTCCACCAGAAGGACTCGGATGAGCAGTTTCCTCCTGAGGCACCTGAGAATCCCTAGATGGCTGATCTGTTCTGCCCCTCCCTCGCCTGCTTTGAACACAACTGATCTGAACTTTGGGCTGTGTCCCCTAAAACCTCCCGATTCAAGGTTACAACAGAATCATACGTAAAGAAAACCCAACCTCCCACATACACTCATGATCCCATGATTTAAAGGCCAGATTTAAAGAAGGCATCTTCTGGGGTCCACAGAAACTCTGCGGTTACTGACAGAAGCTTTCCAACCTGAGGTTTTTCTGCACAAGTCTACCTCCCATTCTCCACTGTGAGCACTTCATTTCCTGCCTCAACACAAGCTCTCATTTTCCTGCATGCCTGGCCCAGCCCACCACTGACCATCTCTCTAGGAACAAGAGAGCTGGAAAACCCTGCTGAGCCTGCTTCTCCTGGATCAGATGTGCCTGCTGAAGGGCCAAAGTTCTTGCCTGCTCCTCCATACTCACATCTATCTCCCCATCATCAATCTCTCCATCGTCATCCTCTTTCTTCTTCTCCTTCGCAGCCTCTGTGGATTCTTTTTCTCCCACACTTTGAACATCAGGCTTCCCTTCCTCTCCGGGAGCACCTTCCCCCTTCTCCTCCTCGTCCTCTGCCCCAGCTTTCTCAACTTCCTCCTCCTGGGCAGCAGGAGCTGGCTCCTCAGGGACCTCCTCATCATAGTCTAGCTCATGCTCATCCAGTTCCCGGGTTACTGAGGAGGCTTCATCCCTGAGGTCACTTGTCCGGTCTTCCTCAACATCATCCCCCTCCTCACAGAGAGATCCCGCTGGGCCCCTGCTCAGCTCATGAGCCTCTGAGTCCTGATCCTGGGACTTGGGCTCACTGGCTCGGTCTTCCTCATCCGAGTGAGTCTCCTCCTGGCTTTGTACCCTAGGTGCATTTTCCTCATCCTCCAAATCGGAAGCCCTTTCCCCAGCTCCATCCAAATCTTGTTCAGATCCACTTTCCCTCAGAATGTCATCATCTGAGAGCGCCGGCTGCTCTTCATCCTCTGGGGAGTGAGGATCCAGTTCAGGGCTCTCAGCCACATCCATCAGGACCCGCAGATCTGCAAAAGACAGACAGCACAGACTCAGCATGGGTCTATCCTCCTGGTCCATAAGCCCTCTGCCCTGAGGAAGAAGGACCCATTCTGCCCTTGCTCCATACAGCTCTTCCCAAATCTACAGAACTCCCTGTAAAGTGCCAGAGCATAACTCCACAGGCTACAGCTGGCCTCCACTTTGTTCTTCCTCTTGCCTGCAGCCAGCACAGGTGAAGAGAAGTGAACAATAATAAGCCATGGACTGCAAAGGACAGCTATTGGGATTCACAGGAACTGACTTCTGAAAATAAGGTTTCTATAGTGGAATGAGGTAGCACCCTAGGTCAGCAGCAGTTTCCAACTGAGCCTTTTTCTCCTACCCTGCCTCTCAACCACAGTTTCTTGTCACCTCTTCAATCCCTCCCCTGTACTCTAAGGTTCAGACTCCAAGACCTCCTTCAGACCTTCCATCCAGCCTCCAGCATGCTCTTCAAAGGCACTGCTCTGGGACCAGTGATATCAGAGCCCAAACAACCAAAGCTATCCAGGTATCTGTTGTACAAATGGATTATGACAATATTTTTAGACATTTAAGTCACATACTTATATAAAAGACCTTTTTCTTTTTAGAAGACTCACTTCTATTTCTAAAAATCCAGATTTAATCAAAGCAAATGTTTTCTGGTTTTTCCACCTCCACACCTCATAGAAAGCACTTTGCTCTGCTGGGTATAGCAGCAGATGCCTGTAATCACAGCACTTGGGAGCTGGAGGCTACCCCACACTACACAGTAAAACCTTGACTCAATAAAAAAAGCACACCGCTGCACTTGATTTAAAACCCGGCCACCTAAGCTGGGGTTAGAGAGTAAGTGTAGACATCATGTATAGCACTCAGTAGCCAGTATTTCTATCGAATCAGTAACAGATACCAACTAATGACATGAAGGAAGAAGGGTTTGGAGTTTATCTGACTTATATTTATCTATTAAAAATAAAATGCACACTTCAACTTACACTCCTTGTCGGGGAGCACAGCGTTGAAGACTGAGTTCAGGACCTTACACATGCCATGCAAGTGCACTATCTCCAAGCTTCAGCTCAGATCCCAAATTCATACTTTTAAAGACTTGTAGCCTGCCGGGCAGCAGAGTGGTACATGCCTTTAATCCCAGCACTTAAGAGACAGAGGCAGGTGGATCTCTGTGAGTTTGAGGCCAGCCTGGCCTACAGAGCAAGGTTTTTTTGTTTTTGTTTTTGTTTTTGTTTTTTTGTTTTTTTTTTTTTTTTTGGTTTTTTCGAGACAAGGTTTCTCTGTGTAGCTTTGCGCCTTTCCTGGAACTCACTTGGTAGCCCAGGCTGGCCTCGAACTCACAGAGATTTGCCTGGCTCTGCCTCCCGAGTGCTGGGATTAAAGGCGTGTGCCACCACCACAAGCGTACAGAGCAAGTTTTGAGACAGCAAGGAATACACAGAGAAACCCTGTCTTAAAAAACCAAAACTAGCCGGGCGGTGGTGGCGCACGCCTTTAATCCCAGCACTCGGGAGGCAGAGCCAGGCGGATCTCTGTGAGTTCGAGGCCAGCCTGGGCTACCAAGTGAGTTCCAGGAAAAGGCGCAAAGCTACACAGAGAAACCCTGTCTCGAAAAACCAAAAAAAAAAAAAAAAACCAAAAAAAAAAACAAAACAAAAAAAAAACCCAAAACTATCATAGGTCACTAAAAATACACAGCAGTCAAGATTTTCTGGTCATCTAGCATCAGTTCAGAGGAAGGAATATCAAAGGAATAGTAAGAAGTTGGTCCTAAGCCGGGCAGCAGTGGCGCACGCACTCAGGAGGCAGAGCCAGGTGGATCTCTGTGAGTTCAAGGCCAGCTTGGTCTATAGAGCAAGATCCAGGACAGACACCAAAGCTACACAGAGAAACCCTGTCTCGAAAAACCAAAAAAAAAAGAAGTCAGTCAGTCCTACCTGGGCATAGTAAGCACATGCCAGTTTGGAATCCTGGGATTTGTGGGATGACACAAGAGGACTGTTGACAGTTTGAGGCCAACCTGGACTACGTAGTGAACTGCAGCCCATCTGGGTTTAAAGAGTGAGAGCAAAAGCAGTAAGAGCAAGTTCAGAAGCTATGTGCACAGCCTCTGATCTCTATGGAGTGCTGTGAGGGTCCTGCAGGGGGCAATGGTGAATCTCATGTAGGACAATGGCCAGATGGGGGCTCTGTGCTTTTCTAAGAGAAAGTTGGTGCAAAGCTCTACTGTGTGTGGTAAGTAGAGTTTTAGTTAAGTCAAGCTAATGCCAAAGAAAACACCCCTAATATACCAACATTAAGGAATACATGAATTCCTTAGTGTGTAACATCTGATCCCTAGCTTTGCACAGTTTTTATTACATTGTATATTTTTAAGTCTCCATAGAGGCCCAGGGACTTTTCATCTCTCCAGCGGCCTAGGAGCAGCACCTGGTACCCATAGGAAGTCAGTCCTGCTGAAGTGGTTACCAAGTGTCTTATGTCTACTTGAAACCTGACAAATTCCTATTCTAACATTTGATAGCTAAAGGCAACCTTGTAAACAAAGTTATCTTTTAAATCAACCATTATGCAAAACCAAATGTCCTGTCTAATTTGGAAGTCATATAACCGATATCACAGAAGACAAAGCCCAAGCTCCAAGATGCTACTGTCCTTGTAACATACTATCTATGTATGGTTCACAAGACTTTCTAACCAGGTCACAGCCCTTTTCTGGGGTCCTGGTACAAGCTGGTTTGCTTTTGGTTTCAGTCAAAATTTGGTTAATGAGTTATTTTTTTACATTTTTGAAAATCTTGAAATGAAATCCTATGGTAAGTAGTGGAGACAGAGTGCACAACTAAACATGAACTGTAGTAAGAAGCAGGCTGGTAAAGGAAGGGAGGCTGTCTTTTATCTGAGTACTGTGTATGTCTCAGGACTGTCAGTCAGGCCTTCTGAACTTGTGTTCCCAGACCATAGATGGAATTAGTTCTATTCCTAGCCATTGAAGTTTCTACTACAAATCCTTTTTGGTACAGACCACAAATAAACTAGGGTCTCCACAATCCTGCGGGTTTTGTTTCTCTTTTCTTCCCTCCAAATATCAATGCACTAGACACTCATTACAGTATATCATTTTTACACAAAGACATAGCTGGGCTGACTAGCTTAAGAAATCTGGAAGGCTGGTGTGCTGTGTACATGCCCACTGAGCCTTCATGCCCTCCAGGTGAATTTAGTTACCTTATCTGCAAGGAGTAAGTCAACTTCTGATTTGTGAAGGCAGTTTTTGGCACAAGCCATAAAGTGGTGGGGTGAGTGGGCCTGAAAGTACCTGTGGCTGTCCTGGTGTGTGTGTAGGGGGTGGGGGCAAGATAACTCTTGGGATCACAGGCTGTTCTGAGCAACCAATGACAAGAATAAACAAGCCCAGACATACAAAATCTCTCTTCCTTTCTGGCAGTTCAAAACCCCCAAATTCCACTCTACATTAGGAATCTTATTTCTTACACTGTACACTATTCTGTTTATCTAACTGCACCTACCATACAAACTCCAACTTTTCATTTGAAGGCTTTTGGGAGGTCTCCTCCTCACCTCTGTTCTTGAATTTCCCAAGCCCAAGTGTTAAAGTCTTGGTCCCTAGGGATACACTACTAAGAGGTGCAGAAATTTTTAACAGGTTAGGCCTAGGAGGAGTCCAGTCTTTGCTCTCTGGCATTTAATGAGAGGTTGAGTGGTTTTGCTTTGTCACACTCTGGCCATGGTGTCTACCTTACCAACTGAATATGGTCTAGATTCTAGAATATACCAAACTGAGCCAAAATACAAAATATACCCCTCCTCCAAGTCTCTCCTTCCTTCCTTCCTTCCTTCCTTCCTTCCTTCCTTCCTTCCTTCCTTCCTTCCTTCTCTCTCTCTCTCTCTCTCTCTCTCTCTCTCTCTCTCTCTCTCTCTCTCTCTGTCTCTCTCTCTCTCTCTCTCTGAGATAGGGTTTCTCTATGTATCCCTGGCTGTGTGAAACTCTATCAGCTTGTCCTCAAACTCACAGAGATCCACTTGCTGTCTCATGATTGCTGGGATTAAAGGTGTATGCCACTACATCAACTTTTATCTTTTCTCTGTATGAATTCATCACCTCAGGTATTTGTCATAGTGATGGAAATCACACGCTCTTCCTGTTCCTACAGAGTGAGAAAGGATGGAGGCTCTCAAAAGGCTGGCACTCAGTAGCCTATACACCACACACTGTATTACCTGGCTGGGACACTTCTGAGACTACAGTGGTCACTATTAGCATCCACAGGAGGCATGGCCAAAGCTGCCATGGTGCAGGGTTCCCTTGCAGAGGCCCTGACAGGTTTTCTGAGAAAAGGCACTGCACTGTCTTCTTTCCCATGGGACCTCCTGGGAGTGCACTACTGGAGGCCACATTCAGGTGAGGATCTTTCAGGGACAACCACAAATCTACACATTTTTATTTTTTATTTTTTTTTAGAAGCACTCTAAATCATACCTTTAGAGCAGAAATTACATTGGGAATCAGGAGATGGCTTGATCTCCAGGCCTGCTCTAGGCAGGGTCACTGTCTCTCTAGGTGCCAGTATTCTGTTTTGAGACTAATTTGTGTGTTCCCTATGCTGGATGCAGGGAAATACATGCCCTATTAAGTGTAAACAATGAATTAAGGGTCCTCCAGTCCAGCTCACTAAACTCCCATATTCACAATCTTTGACCAACCAGTCTTAGTCACCCAGTAATGTAGAATTTTCACAAGGTTTAGAGCTAATCTTTAGTCCTCCAATCCACAGTGGTAAACCTGTTCAGGGATGGAATAACACAAGTCTTTCACTATTTCTGTCCCCTGCTGCATTTCCCTGCTGCATTTGACATACCTGAAAAATGCTTGTTAAACAATTGACAAAAATCTCATTAATCAGGGAACTACCTGTTGCATACCAGAAAGAAAAGTTGTCTAATTCAGTTAGGCGTAGTGGGGCATGCCTTTAATCCCAGCACTAGGGAGGCATAGGCAGGTGTATCTTTGTGACTTCAAGGCCAGACTAGTTTACAGAGCAGTTCCAGGATAAGCTCCCAAGCTACACAGAGAAACTCTGTCTCGAAAAACAAAACAAAACAACAACAAAAATTGTCTAATTTGTAAAACACTATAACCAGAGTTCCAGAACAGTGTCCTATGCTCTTGTCTCAGCAACAGCTCTGGAAGGCCAAACTGACTCCAACCACACTATTAATGGCAGAATAATAATGCCACGTTCTCCTCACAGTTGGGTCCCTTTGAGGAACTGCTACAAACTACTTAAGAGTCTGGCCTGGCTGCGTGGTGGTGGCACACGCTTTTAATCCCAGCACTCGGGAGGCAGAGCCAGGTGGATCTCTGTGAGTTCGAGGCCAGCCTGGTCTACAGAGCGAGATCCAGGACGAGCACCAAAACAACACAGAGAAACTCTGTCCCAAACAAACAAAAAAAGAGCCTGACCTGGTAAACTGCCAACCCAGACAAAACAACTCTTGGTCAAACTTGGGGGTTTGTGACTATTAAAAGAAACCAATTTCTTCACATGGCTTACTATTGAGACAGGTGTTCCAAGTGGGCTTCAGCAAAGGAAGATCAATAACAGACAAACACAACTCCTGGGAAACTTCTTTCTTTCTTGAGACAAGGTCTCACTGTGTAGTCCTGGCTGTCCTGGAACTCACTATGTAGACCAGGCTAGCCTCAAACTCAGAGATCCTCTTACCCCTGCTTCCCAAATGCTGGGATTAAAGGTCTGAGATACCATGCCCAGCTGTGGGAAACTACCATTAGCAGAGCAGATTCTATGTTGACGTCTAAGTTCTACTAGGCCTGTTTAAAATCCTCATTCATAGCTTCAATGTCTACAGCAAGAGTGTCGGGATTGTTGATAAACACCACTCCAAAGCGACTTAAGCTCAACCAAAAACTCTTCGATAAGGAGTAGTCACCTTGAGATGGTCTATAGATGACAAGGTAATCTCTTTAAAGACAAGCAAGGTAAGAGCTTACCTGTTGGGTGTTGTGCAGTAAATCCACAAGTTCTCTTAAAATGTTTGAGCATTCCCCACCTACAACTGGAGAGGAGTTTCAGGCTTTGGGACATACTAAATTGATTCCAGAACTGGCTGGGCTTCGTAAGTGCTCAGATCATACACATTTTCATCTCAGGAGCCAGGAAATGGGAATTAGCCTAGGGGTTGAAAATCTCAACCCCTGCCTTGGGATAGGTAATGTGAAGATAAACCAAATGCCCTCTTTCATTATCCTCAAATGGGTCTGAAGAAATCCCTACTCTTGCAAATAAATGCTAAACAAAGCTCATTTAGAGCTACTATTGTGCCCGGTAAACTCAGCTGTCAATGTAAACAAGGAAAACTAAATTTCCAGCAGTAGCGAGGCTGTAAGTCTTAGTTTAATTTCCTTCCAGCACTACACTTGTTTGGCTAACTTTACGCCAAAGACTCGGTGTCTCTGAGCTCCCAGTCCAAGAGGCGAGGAGGTTACACTTCCTAAGAGATCGAGGCCTCTCGGGGTACAGTGGGTACGTCCAATCTGTGCACACTTGAAGTTGCGAGAGCAAGTTGCAGGTGGCTCCAGAGAGTTCAAAGTTCCCCGCAGAGCCCGTCGACAGTCCAGGCGGGCCTCCTCTCGAGCCAACCTGCGTGCTTCTCTCCCCTTTGTAGGCGGAGAACATGTGCCACGCCGAATGGCCCGGAAGGGAAATGACAGCTTCAGGAAAGCCAACTTCACCATGGCAGACCGCGGCGCGCTAAGGCGCCAGGACGTCCCAGGCCGCAGCGGGCTCGCGCCTGCCCGCTGTCCCGGGTCGCGCCTCGGCCCGCGGCTGCGCACAGCCGGGGGCGCGCCCGAGCTCGGGAGGCGGCGCCGGGCTCCCGGGCCTCGCTCCCGCCGCCGCTGGGGCGGCCTCTTCCTCACCGCCTGCCAGCCCCACTTACCTCAGCGCGAGGACGGGAGGCGGCCACGGCTCCGCTGGGATGGGGGCAACGTGGACAGGACGTTCCTCAGCCTTTCCGCTTCTCACTGGCTCAGGCTTCGGGCACGACGCGGGCGGAACAAACGGGCTCCACTACCCGCGGGGGCCGGCCATTGTGCGACGTCATCAGGCCGCGACGGCCGTACTGCGGGCCGGCGGGCTTCCCTCGCTAGCCCCGCCCTCCTCGCGCTTCCTTCCGGCCTCTGGGGTCCCTCCTCCGTGGCGCGCGCTCGCAAGTCTCCGCTACTGCGCACGCCCATCGAGGTCCGCCCTCCCTCTAGCGGGCCACCTAGCGGCGCGTGCGCAGAGTCTTTGGACCTCTGATGGTAGTTTCTCGGAATGGGCAGCGGATGGCAGAGGACGGATTGTGAGGCGGGCACAGAAAGCTCTTTGAGGCTCTTGGTGTGCGCGTATGGACACTCCAGGGCCTGAAAACTTGGGATTCGTTTTCGTCAGTTGCGAATTTCCTGTCTTATTAAATATCAATGCTTGACCGAAACTGTTTTGGGGACTGGAGTGTAGCTCTGAAGTAGAGACAGCACCTGGCAAGTATGCTCGAGGCCCTGGTAACCGCCCCCTCCCCCCCAAAAAAGGGATTTTTGGAGATACCTGTAGATTTTAGAGTGGCGCTAAATATTCCTGGTCTCCTTAAATATGATTACCATGACCCAGTGTAAAACTGCTGGGGAGGATTTAATGCTGATTGGAACATTTTTCAGCCCCCTCCATTTATCCAGCTTTGCTGCTGCTGCTGGCCTAAACACCCTCATCGCTACTGACAAAGGGTAGCGAGATCTTTGGGTACTGTCCCCTTGCAAATTTTGGAGCTGATCTTGGGCTTACGTAGTTGGGAGCTGCCTGTCTTCCTCAGACAACCTCAAGGTGAAAACAGCTCAAATGCCCATAAATTGATGAAAGAATAAACTGTCCTATTCTTTTTTTTGTTTGTTTGTTTTTTTGTTTTTTGAGACAGGGTTTCTCTGTGTAGCTTTGCGCCTTTCCTGGAACTCACTTGGAAGCCCAGGCTGGCTCTGCCTCCCGAGTGCTGGGATTAAAGGCGTGCGCCACCACCGCCCGGCTAAACTGTCCTATTCTTACAGTGGAACATTAATTCAGCCACAGAAAGGAATGAAGGTCTGACACATGCTATAAGTGAAAGACCCTAGCCCTTCAGGCTTACACCCCCAAGCCTCAGGAAGAGAGAAACTTCAAGCACCAGGAAATGAGAAACTAAAAATCTAGTTCCAAGGGCCATCTGATAACAATGTAAAAAGATTTCTGTTAAGAGATGTGCTCAACTGTGACTGGGATAGTTGCAAGTGTTCCAGGAAGGACCACTGTGACCTTTGTGTAAACTCCACTCCTACCCTGATACCCCCCTTGAGGTTTCAGGAAGAATGTACATGTGGACTGTACCCACTCTGTGATCAGACCATGTTCTTGTGAAACGAAATTGTATGGGAATTGTAATCTTATGGCTTTTGTGGGTTTTTCCTTTAAAAGCACCTATGTGACTACAGTAAGATGCAGCTCTTGCTCTTAGGAGCAGAGTTTGCCCTTCTGTACAGAAGCCAATAAATTCCTCGTGCTGTTGCATCAACTGGACTGGAGTCTGGGTTCTTGGGGCGCCCACTTGAGACCCTAAACTTTGGGGTCCAACAATAAGCACAGAGGAACTCAAGAAAGGTGCTTGAGAGAAGCCAGTCAGGAAACCTGAGCGGCTTAGTGTGTCTGTGAGGGATTTTTCTTGACTGAATCATTTGAAGTGGGAAGACCCACCTTTAATCTGGATCTTTTGAGGTGAGAAGATCCACCTTTAATCTGGGCCACACCTTTTTGTTTGTTTGTTAGTTTTGTTTTTCCAGACAGGGTTTCTCCATGTAGTTTTGGTGATATTGCTCTGTAGACCAGGCTGGCTTTGAACTCACAGAAATCCACCTGGCTCTGCCTCCTGAGTGCTGGGATTAAAGGCGTGAGCCACCACCGCCCGGCTGGGCCACACCTTTTGATGGCAGCCTATATAAAAGACGTGGAAGAAGGAAACCCTTGCTCTTTGCCTGCTTGCCCTCACTCTGGCAAGTTCATTGGTTCACTGGCATTAGGGCCTTCTTTTCCGATTTCAATGAATACTGAAGACCAGTTGAGACATCCAGCCTACTGGATTCTTGGACTTCCTCTTGGTAGACAGCCATTGTTGAATTAGCTGGGCCACAGCATGCCTCCAGGTTCCTGATCTGAGTTCCTGTCCTGACTTTCTTCGATGATGAACAGTGCTGTGGAGATATAAGCTAAATAAATCCATTCCTCCCCACTTTGCTTTGGTCATGGTGTTTTGTCACAGCAATAAAAACCCTAAGACATCAAGTCTTCACATGGGCCTCTCCAACTACCTGAAACTCCTTTGCCTGATTCACATTTATTCATCCTTAGGTCTTACCAAGGCTGGCTTTCTTTCCAGACATACTCCTGACACACTGGGGCCACCTTCATGTACCACTCAGTCCTGCCAATCAGGGTATGTCTTTGGCAGTGTGTTCCACACCAGAAATCCCGTCAGTCTCTTTAACAGGCCCAGGTGATTCTGATGTTCAGAGCATGTGAAACTGGAAAATCCTTGACCTTAGGCTCCAAGAGACATGGACAAGAATAGTCACAGAGATCTTATAGTAACAACTGGGAAAATAAAGGGGAAAATCCTGGAAATGACCCAAATATTTATCAAAAGACATTGCAATGGTGTAACTAATATTATACACTACTTAGCATGTTGCAATGGTTAAAAAATTATATAAATCTTGAATACGTAAAGATAATATTTGGAAGTAGGGGCGAAGCTCAAAAATGATGTTGCACAAAAAGTCAAGTGGCAGAAAAAAACCGCAGATGATCATTGTTTTTGCTGTGACAAAACATCATGACAAAACATCATGACCAAAAGTAACTTTGGGGGTGGGGGGGAGAGGGTTTATTTCGGCTTACAGCTTATAGTCCATCGTGGAGTGAAGTCAGGGAAAGAGCAGGAGGGTGCTCCTTACTGGCTTGCTCCTATGGCTTGTTCTTCCTGCTTTCTTATAGCACCCAGGACCACCTGCCCAGGGGCGCCACCTACCTCAGTGATATGAGCCCTCTTGTGTTAGTCATTAATCAAGAACATGCCAAACAGACTTGTTTACAATCTGATGGAGGCATTTTCTCAGTTGGAGTTCCTCTTCTCAGATAATTCGAGCTGGTGTCGAGTTGCCAAAACCAAACCAACTAACCAGGACAATCATGCTCACATAAGATTATAATCATGAATATTTTTGGAGGTGTGGAGCAAGTGAAACACACATACTGCCACTAGGGGTCTACATGGTGTAGTCATTTTAGAAGGCAAGAAACATCAGTATGAACAGGAATGGTGGTGTATGCCTATAATCCAAGTACTTGGGAGGCTTTGTCGGGAAGATGAGTTCAAAGCCAGCCAGGAGTGAATATCTTGGAAACAACACAGGAAAACTATCAGTATGAATGCTAAGAAAAATGCCTGGAAAGACAAAAGCATGGAAAATAGTTGCTTCTTGAGAATGGGAAGGGAGAGAGAGAGAGACATTGGTTTCTAAATTGTGGGCTATACTGAGACAATGTACAAATGATAAAAGTCGTATGAAGTGTACTGTGGTGATATTGTGTTCCCCAAAATATTGTGCACCCTAATAAACTTATCTGGGGTCAGAGAACAGAACAGCCACTAGATATAGAAGCCAGAAAATGGTGGCACACACGCCTTTAATCCTAGCATTCCAGAGGCAGAGATCCCTCTGGATCTCTATGAGTTCAAAGCCACACTGGAAACAGCTAGGCGTGGTAACAAGAGCCTTTAATCCCAGGAAGTGATGGCGGGAAGCCGAAAGGTATTTAAGGTGTGAGGATGAGGAACTAGATCCGTGTTAAGCTTTTAGGCTTTTAGCAGCAGTCAGCTGAAATCCATTCAGATGAGGACTCAGAGGCTTCCAGTCTGAAGAAACAGGATCAGCCGAGGTAGCTGTGGCTTGTTCTGCTTCTCTGATCTTCCAGCATTCACCCCAATACCAGGCCCTGGGTTTGTTTTTATTAATAAGAACTTTTAAGATTTGTGCTACAGTGTACAATCTGAGTTTTGCCCACTCTACACCAAACAATCCCACCTGGCTGAAAATTTCCCAACCTGTTGCCATGTATGGCACACATCTCAGGACATGAGGCATGGAGTCAGAAGCCTGCGTCTTGCAGCCCTAACAATAGACTCAGCCACTCCTCCTCAATAGGCCAATTCATCAAACAAGTGAGAGTGAAAAGGAGAGAAAAGAGATTTAGTTAATGTGGCCACAAGGCCCAGGCTCTGACCATAGCAACTCTAAAAACACTGTGGGGTTGGAGTTCTACCTGTTGTCTACCTGAACCCCAGAAGAGGGAAAGTTGGGAACTGTAGGACTCACTTCCTGCTCCCCTCACTCCAGGGCCAAGGGATCCCAGGCCTAAAATGTTGCTCTCCACATTTTCAAGGCATGGGACATATCCATACAGGTTTGCCCAGCCTTTACTGTCTGTAATGTCAAGAATATCTAAAAAGCATTTTTGTCTGAAGGTAGCATTTGAGAAAGGACAGTCTTGCTGATTCTTTATATGGTCACCAGAGGGTGCATCAGAGCAATCCAGCTCCTGTTCTGTGGTTAGCCCTGATCTGACTGGCCAGCTGTGAACTCAGCTTGTTAAAGGACTCAATGTGTAGGACCTCCACTTCTGAGGTAATAAGAAAGAGCCAGGCTGGATCAGCAGGGGGTCTGATCTCTGGAGTGGAGGAGTTTATCAGCCCTGTCAGCCTTAGGCCTTGGTCATCCTCTGTGCCCAGCTGTGATCCCACCTACTTTTACAAGGGTCTCACCCCAGGGAGGTTGGACTGAGGATCTCCAGACCTCCAAGTCTCTGCTGGCTTTTTCTCTCGCTTCTGCTTTGCAGAGCTTCAGCCACTGGTTTGGGTGAGCCAGTCCACTGGTTTGGGTGAGCCAGTGACTGAGGCAAAAGACCTATGTGGGGCCAGCTCCTATCCATATTCAGAAGTTTATTTATGCAAGGTTGCAAGTAACGTAGCACAGGCTGGCCTTGAACTCACCATGTTGCCTAGGATGACCTTAAACTTCTGATCTTCCTGCCTTCACCTTCACAGGTTTCTAGGATTACAGGTATGTACCACCATGCCTGTTTTAAGTGGTGCCAGAGATTTAATTTGAGGCTTCACGCATTCACTAGGCAAGCACTCTACCACACTTAGCTACATCCCCCAGCTCCCAATAATTTTGTAAAAATAAACTTGAGATTATCAGTAAATGATTTACATGTGTATTTTATGTACCTACAAACCGGGGTCATATAAAATTGTCTTGGGCTTTTAGAGATCACAAGCAGAACGTTTAAAAAGACCCCTCTCGATCTCCATAGGCCCAGGACAAAGGGCTAGTGTCTGTCCCACAGCTCTGAGTATTATAGCTGGGTCAGTGGCTATTGTCTGGCTAAGAGCTGTGAACATCTTCCCCATGCATTTGGAAGTATGCTGTGCTGAACCCTTGTTGGAGGCATGGTCAGCTCCAGGTCAAATTGTGAGGATGTACTCACCAAGGCTCCAGTGATGGCTACATAAGACAGATGCATACAGGGAAATAAAGTTGTCGGCATAAAGATACCAGGCAGACTGGCTTGCCGAGAAATTAATATTTGGGTGGGGACCATATTAACAGAGGTTGGGCAGACTTGTGGGTGGAGAATCTGTTGAAGACTCTGCAGTCAGCTGTGGAGCTGGTTTTCTGCTCTGGGGAGCCAGCCTCCCCAAACCACATCCCTGTTTCTCACTTTACTGTGGGTTGCCGGGCTCAGCAGGTGGCTCTTCTCCACGAGATAAGGCCAGGATGTGTGGGGGCCTTGGCCTGTCTGCATGGTCTCTGCAGTAGAGTAGCTAGACTTGTAACACAGCTCCGCTGGGCTCCAGAGGGCATAGAAAACTGCCAGGCTTTGAGGCACATTACCATTTCCCCTGCATCCTGGTGCTCTCACAGAAGGATGTGAATCCCACAGATAGGTTCTCTGCACACCTATTGTTAAAATTCCTTCCCAGGGGGAGATGTAAGCAATGCTACCCTTTACGCCTGAGCTCTCAACAACATACTGAGTTATGATTTCACTAAAGTTCATTCTGGGGACCCAGTGAATTTACTGGACTTCCTTTGAGAGCATAGGTGACAGGCTATTTACATTTGTTCATGCTGCAGGGATGTAAGGGTTTTCCCTCTGCAAAAGGCCACACCAGAAAGTCTATCCAGCAGGAGGATGGCTTTCCCATAGCTGCACTGATGGAGTACTGTCAGTCTTCACGTTGGCAAATTCAAGTTCCTCTCCGAGGCCACGTGCAATTTAGGGCAGAATTGTATATAACAGGCAGCATAGAGTGGCTGCACATTCAGCTGAGGGTCCCATGGCCCTCCCAGTCCCTCCTCCTATGAGGGAATCTAAACAGTCAGCAAGCCCAGCTGGGATGAGTTTTGCAAGTAGGCAC